AAGACAGTTCCTGCAAGGATGAAATGAGTTAATAGGCAAGCCGCTGAGAACAGTGCCTAGAGCGCCAGGGGGTGCCCAGAAAGTGCTGGGGTCCGCTCTCCCCGCGCTGTGAGCCCTGGGCCATCACTCCCCTCCCTGGCCCGCCTCCCCCGCTCAGGAGCTCCTGGAAGCCAGAAGTCCCTTCTCCTTTTGATGTTGCTACCTGTCAGCAAAGGGAAGCCAGCAGATACCATTTACAGTGACACTTTGAATGGATTCCTGAGTGAAGGCAATGAACACTTGAGTCAGCATGAGATCAGAAAAGATGTTTTGTCAACGATAGGGAACTAGCAAACAAGCACACATGGCTGCGATAAGTGACATGGACGAGGATGGATAACTCTGGAGCAAGTGCACATTCGTAACACACATGATCTGGAAGGACTGCTCAGTCAAATATCCCATTAGGCAGGTAACACTGACCTATTCCTAGCGGTCAATGCAAAGGAACGGGGGGAGCTTTTAGAAGATCTAGAAGATCCTACAAGGCCACATCAATATGCATAGAGACCTGTACAGCTTGGTGTCCCCTCAAAATACAGAACCCCAGGATGTGACCCTATTTGACAAGGGGTCTTTACAAATATAAGTAATTAAGATGAGGTCATACTGGAGTAGAACAGGCCCTAAATCCAGTGTTTGGTGTCCTTATAACAAGGCCATGTTGGAGACAGAAGAGAATGGAGATGGAGGCAGAGACTGGAATGATGCCTCTACCAGCCCAGGAGGCCGAGGGCTGCCGCGGCCTCCAGACACTGGGAAAGAGGCACAGGGCGCTTCTGCCTCGGAGCCTCCGGAAGGAACCAACCCCACCTACCTTTTAAGACTTCTGGCCTCCAGGGCTATGAATAAAATACGTCTGTTGTTTTAAGCCACTGAGTTTGTGATGCTTTGGTTATGATGGTCCTCGGGAACCAATGAAGAGCCAACAGAAAGGCCAGTCAAGTGGGACAGCATTCATGCAGCCTGAACCCGAGAAGGAAGCCTCCTTCCCTCTCCCCTGCTGGGCATTTGCACAAGATTCTGTCAGTGGTGATCACACATGGACTGTTAGGTGCAAGGCAGCCTAGGACGAGCCAGAGCTAGGACACCAAAAACACCAAAACGAGAGAAATGCAAAAAGGGAAGCAGGGAAGGAGCTCGGCAGGAGGAGCACTGGCACCCTGGGGGGAGGGTACTGATTCCAATCTACCACCTCCTGTTTTTTTCCCCATCATGTTGTTTCTAAATAATAATTTAAAACTTCCCCCAAATGAACACCTGCCCACCAAGGGTTCTTATTCTCAAAGGTTCTATTCTAGAAAGATTTTGGCAAAAATGGAAGGCCAAAGGTGTCCAAAATTCCTCTCTTCCTTAAAACAAGAACACTGGCAAAAACACAAGTGATCAGAATCAGCCTTTCCAGAGCTCTCGAAATTAACTGAAGGCCCTCAGCCGTTCAAGCAGTGTTTGGTGAAGGAAAATGGCTGAGTCTCAGTAAGACGAGCAAGTTTTGTGGCCTTTTAACTCTGTTCCCATCCTCTCCTCCTCGACTCTGTGGCTGCCTTGAAAAACAACGGGCCACAGGCACAGCAAAAGCAGCAGCCGGGCAGCCGCGGAGGGGGACAGCGTGGCGTGGGGCCGGCCGGGCTGCGGGTCTGACCCCAGCTGTCCTCATGTCCTTGTCCCCAGGCCGGGATCATCGCAGAGGGAAAGCTGAAGGAGCTGACGCCCCCCATGCCTGTGATGCTCCTCAGGGCCATCCCCGCAGACAAGCAGGACAGCCGCGGTGTGTATCCCTGCCCCGTGTACAAGACCTGTCAGCGCGGACCCACCTACGTGTGGACTTTCCACCTCAAGACGAAGGAGAAGCCATCTAAGTGGGTTCTGGCGGGCGTGGCCTTGCTTCTCCAGATTTAGCTTCCTGCAGAGCCACCAAGGAAGCAGCGGGGCTGGAGCTGGGCTCCACGAGCGGGGGAGGGCTGAGCACAGACACAGAGAAGGGTCAGAAATCAAGCACGCTCATAGCTCTGAAGAATTTGGGGGTGGACCTCGGAGAGAAGTACCTAACGTGAGGCTGAGCTCGAGGAGCGTGGACCTAGGAATCGGAGAATTTCACGACACTGAAACTTTCCTAATAAAGTGGTTTGTTCCTCCACTGTGTCTGGTCCAGGCTTTGTGTTGCAGAGTCAACATCGGTCATGAGGAGCCCGAGAGAAATGAGCCACAGACGTGGGAGCCCTGCCCTGATGTCACTGCAGGCCCTCCGCCCAGCGCTCTGGTTCCGGCTGGTCCGTGGCCCAGCAGCACCGCGTCACCCATGAATCAGGCTCCCCAGGTGGTCTGTAGGCACGTTGTGGTTTGAGAAACGTTACTCTGGATCAGGGAGTCACCAAATTTCTCTGTTAAGAATCAGATGGTAAGTACTGTAGGCTTTGCAGGAAGTATTGTTTCTGTTGCACCTGCTCAGCTCTGCTGCCGTCACCCCCAAGGGCCACAGACAAAACATAAACAAATGAGTGTGGTCACGCTGCAGTAAGATTTCATTTACGACAACAGGCGGTGGGCCATATTTGCTGGCCACTGCTCCAGAGGATAAGGGGAAGTTCACATGCAACGTTTGTCCTTCATTAATTCACACATCCACTCAACAAACGCTCATCTAACATCTACTGCTGGCTGAGGACAAGACTGCGAACAAGGTAGGCTGTTTCCTTGTATTCTATCAGCCTTCAGATCATTTAAGAGGGGCCCACGGAGAAACCTTCCACCTAAAGTCTTTTAACCTAAAAGCTTCTCGATTTTCCTCTGTGGAACAGATTTTCACTGGATGCCCAAAGAGTTCTACAGGTTCAATGAGTTTTAAAGGGCTCTGTGGGGTGGGGGGTGGGGTGTCTGTTAAGTCGTCTGGGAGGGCTCAGCATTCCTTTTAGGATCGTTATTCCCACGTATCCTTGGACTATTTCTGGGTTGGTTACTGTGTAGAACAGTGGTTCTTAACCTTGAGCAGGCATCAGAAAACCCTTGAGGACTTGTTAAAACAAAGATGGCTGGACCCTACCCTTCAGGATACATGAGTCAGTAAGTCTTAAGAAACTGCCGATGCTGTGGGTCCAGGTTTAAAACAGAAAATCCCACCATCCTAAAAACCTCTGCTACAAGAATACAGAATCTAATGCCAATTCCACCATGATTTTCCTGCTGTCTACCCTGTGGGTCCTGCACCCTGGGAAGAAGGGCCTTATTCCTCATCTGGATGCCTATAAGACAGTTAACAAATTCCTCTGGAATCCAGGAATTCCAGCTTGAGTTCTGTCTCTCCTCTCATCAAGCAGCAATGCCCTTCCCATTGTCAGCCAACAACTTGCAGTTTCTTGCCTACAGTTCCTGCGTTTCCAAGGAGATGGCTCTGCCTCCTTGTTGGCATCATCCTTCCTGGTCCTCACAGAGAACAGTGAGGAGTGGGCAGAGGAGGACCAAGATGGAAGGAAGGTGGAAGTCTCACTGTACGAGAGCAGGGCACTCTGGGTCACGGAACTTTTGAAGACAAGGACAAGTGGACAGGTTAGATAGATGTGTTAATAAACCTCCAGACACACTACAAATTGGATCAATACTATTGACTTCTTCCTTGCACGCACAGACCAAATGAGATAAGGAAGATAACTTTACAACACCAGACACTTCGGCAAAAATGATGGTGTAAGTGGGACACCAGGAGAAAGGGGGGTAACTGGAGGCCCCAGAGCAAGCGGGGGATGGGCATAGGCAGAGGACCCAGGAGCGCCCGGCCCTGGCACCGGGTCGGCACTTCCCCCGCACGGCTCAGCCGACGGGTAAGCATGCAGGTTCCGACGGGCCCAGCGGCCACTTCGGGGCGCCTGCGAGAACACACACCTGGGGTTAGTCAGGCACAAATGAGGCAGGGGGTGGCTACCAAGGTTACCGGAAACAAGGGATACCTGACGCTAGCTTGGCACCCGTACAGTGATCACGCGCGAGCCCCCCGGCCTCTGTGCCCCTCCCTGTGACAGGAGACCTGTTCTAGAGCCCCGGTTCCACAGGGCTGATCGAGGTCCTTCCCAGGGGCGGCAGACTCCTCCCAGAGAGCGCTCCTAACTAAAACGGGACCCCCCAAGGGCCCAAGGGAAGAGAGGCGCTGAAAAATGAAGACTTTTCTTTCTCTTGATGCAGAAGCAAGACAGTAAACCTGCGTGAAGTCCAGTGCAGAGGCCGAGGTGCCTCTGAGTCTAAAACAGAGTTCTAGTCTCTCCTGTCCAGTCCACGAGAAAGCGAGAGAACAGGGGTGTCTTCTGAGAGAGCGAGTTTCTCCAGATGGAGTCAAGCATTTCTAAGTGGACCAGGAGACAGAAATGGGCCGAGAGAGCCTGGCTACGGAAAGGGCTTCTTTCCCAAGTGGGATCTTTGATGTTTGTCCAGGCTGGAGCTCCAGCTGAAACTCTTCCCGCAGCGGGAACATTTATAGGGTTTCTCGCCTGTGTGAACCCTCTGATGTCTATTAAAGTTGGATCTTTGAATAAAACTCTTCTCGCAGATGGGACATTTATAGGGCTTCTCTCCCGTGTGGATCTTCTCGTGGTGGCGCAGCCCCGAGAAGTCACTGAAGCCCTTCCCACAGTAGTCACATTTACAGGGCTTCTCTCCCGTGTGGACTCGCTGGTGCTTCACAAAGTTGGAACTCCGCAGAAAGGCTTTTTTGCAGGTGGGGCACTGAAAGTACGTCTCTCCGGTGTGGGTCCTCTGGTGAAAAACAAGCTGCGAATTCCTGTAGAAGGTCTTCCCACACTCCCGGCAGGTGGGGAGTCTCTGGGCCATGGTGGCTCTCGGCTGCGCGCGCGGGGAGGCCTCCCTCCTCTGCTCAGGCCAGGGCACAGACGGCTCTCCAGGGTGAGGACGCGGCAGGCGCGGACCCAGCTGCTTCCCAGGATTCCTGTCTTGAGGGGAGAGCTGGCCCCTGGTTCCCTCGCCCTGAAGGTTCTCCTGGGCCTCGGGGAGATTCTCGCCTTCTCCAAAGCATTTCGACTCATCCTCACTGAAGAGGCCGCTCAGGGCAGCCTGGAAGGGTGGCTCTCCCGAGGCTTGAGGCGCCTGGTCTTTGTGGTTCTCCGAGTTTATGTTCTCTTTGTCATTCTCCTGCCTGTCCCCTGAAAGGAGGAGGAAGATGCGGAACAGCTCAGTCAGGGCTGTGCCCTATTTTCTAGCTCGTATGTCAAAGAAAGGGTCATCATAAAACACTGTTTCCCAAGAGGGCATCAGTGAGCAAAGAAGGAAAACACCATCCAGGCTGAGCCCCGGGCACCCAGCTCGTGGCATCCAGACTGTGACTCAGCTCTGGAGCCAAGGGCAGCGAGCACCGGCACTTAGCACCCGCGGAGGCCCCGCGGTGTGCGGCAAGCGCTGCTGAAGGCCCAGGGGACGCACGGGATGTGAGAGGGCTGCGCTAAAAAAGTGCTGGTTTTCATCTGTTCACACAGAAAAGAGAAGTATGACCACCAAAAACGATCTGAAGGGTATGCGAAAGAAAACCAGATCGACCTCAGTCATACCGACAGCTCCGAATATGCGTTTCCTTCCAGTCTTTCATTTGTACGTGTGTGTCTGTCTATGCGATTCATCAATTTCACGTGGATTCTCCCTCCCACAATTCCTGAAATGCACTAATATGTCACTTTACTGTGGCTGTGAAGCACGGCGAGGCCGCAGGGCGGAAGTGAAGCCCTCAGTCTGCGCTTGAACCTGGCGTTCACTTGTGCCTCATTAACTCACATAACAGTTAGATGTTGTTTTTCTCCTCATAACTTAGGTTTTTTGGTTATTACTACTTAATGATGCATGTAGTAAAGATTTTCATTTTAGTGGCAGAATTTATCTTCAGCTTTTATAAAATACATTATTCCTGTAGCTCTGAAGAAGCTGTTTGCCTTTCTCCTATATTAGTGTCTTTCACATTATCGGCTGCAGCCCCGGGGAATCTGCTAGAGAACCAGACCTGAACTTGTTAATTCCCCGAGCCTTAGAACATATTCTTCTCAAATGGCAAAGGTACTTCCTCTTGTCTTAAAGAAGCTTTTATAAATATCATTTTAAAGAGCTGAATAATCGCCCATCGTGGAGATGTTGCCATGAACACAATAATATTTGTAAATGCATAATTTATTTAAGAGTTCTCCTACTGTGGGAATCTAAGTTGTTTATTTTGCTATTATAGATAATGATGTGATAAGCATTTTTCTTCACAAATTCTTCCCACGTTTTTGATCAGTACCTTAAAGGAGGTTCCTCAGAGTAGAATTACTGTGCCAGCAGGCAAGAACGGTGTTACTAAGGGTGTTGACACCTGCTGGCAAATTGATTTCCGGAATGACCGCACCACCCTCTGGTGTGGGAGGCTGAGCAGAGGGTGGGCGCGTGGCCGGGACTTAGTACTCGGTGGCGCAGGTATCTGCCACTGAGACTGGTGAATGACGGTGTTCCATGGGTATAAATTTTAATTCTTTAGTTATTAATCAAGTATTTTTTCACCTTTATGAGTTATTTTTCTTACTCCAAGGCTGCTGTCCGTTTTATTTTACTGGGAAAGTCACTTTTCTCTTACCAGCTTGCATTAACTCCTTCTCTATTAAGAAAAATAATCATTTATCTGTCGTGTACATAAAAAGTTTTTCACCGTTTAGTTACTACTTTAATTTTGTTTGGGGTTGTTTTTATGTATAGAAGCTGTGGTTCCTTTCTTTTTTTTTAACATTTTTTATTGATTTATAATCATTTTACAATGTTGTGCCAAATTCCAGTGTAGAGCACAATTTTTCAGCTATACATGAACATATATATATTCATTGTCAAATTTTTTTCTCTGAGCTACCATAAGATCTTGTGTATATTTCCCTATGCTGCACAGTATAGTCTTGTTTATTCTACAATTTTGAAATCCCGTCTATCTCTTTCTTTTTAAACACACTGTTCGAGGGCCAACTGTGCACACTTGTTCAGTCCTTCGGGGTTTTGATTAACGGTACGAGTAAAAGGCTTTTTGAGGCTCACTGCCCTGCTGACCTGCTCTAACTATGAGCTGTTCTTCCATATGGTCAAACAAAATAGCACGTCCACTCTCTCCTGGGACCGCCGCCCCTGGTCTGAGCCCAGATCCGGCAGAGGGCTACCGTGTGCACCTTCCAGACCGGACCGGTCCCTCCCCATCTTGTTACTATGCCCCGTCCCTGCACACCTGGACTCCTGCACCCGCCGCCCCTAGGGTCGCTCCCAGGCGTCCCGCGCCTGCCACTTCCTCAGCCTGTCCCTCAGATCCTCTCTCAGGAACCTACGGCGGCATTTCTTTGCCTTATCAAGGCGGGCTGGCTTCATACACTCTCCACAGTCTGGCTCAAGGTAAGATCTGATGGGACCATGGTCAGCAGCGGGGAATGAAGGAAAAGAAAAAGAAAAAAAGGGGAAAAATAAGAATGAGTGGTCACAGGGAGAGTCAGTGAGCTGGACACACAAATAACCCCCTGCTGCGCGGGAATCCCTTACCTTCCTCTCACTCCTGCTCTGAACCTAAAACTGCTCCAAAAAATAAAGCCCATTAAAACAAAAAGCTTACGGCAACAACCTCTAAAGCAGCATTTTCAAACTTTTTTTGTCTGCTACACATGGTAAGAAATAATTTTATACTGGAATGCAGTGTAGACGCACAGATACAGAATAAAAATTTCCTGAAATGCTACCCACCCCGACAGCTGATAGTTGATATTTGCATTCTGATATTTTCTGTTCAATATTATCATTTTGCTTTTTAAAATGCTGGTTGAAACCCTGTAAAATATTTTCACAACCTGCTAATTATTCATGAAATGCAGTTTGAAAAATACTGTTCTAGAGGCATCCTTGTGAAATAGTATTATGATAAATATATTGCTTAAAATTGATGCTTGCTCTGTGTATATGAGCAAAGAAAAATACTTAATCCCCTCAGACCCCACTGGGGAGAAAGAGTGGCTTGTCGCACAGCTCCCACCCTCGGTCTTCACCTCCTCCATGGCTCTGGGGTCCTCGGTAGACGTGAAAATGTGTGTGTGTGTGTCCGGGTGTGCAGGGAGGTAGGGGTGACGGCTGATTTCACATGGCTGCGATGTTTTTAGAAGAGTGCAGAAGGCAAAGGGCGCCTGCTATTTTACAACAGAACAACTTTCCTAGTTCTTAGCACCAGTCTTCAAATACGCGATTTGTATGAAGTATCTGTTGTTGCTGCTGTTTAAGGTAAGTTAGGTGCATGGAGATGAGCTAAAAAGTGCTTTCCTGTCGGCCTTGTTTATTTTGTTGAGGGTGGGCTGGTTCCCATTCACCATAACCAGAGAAAAGAAAGTCCAGTTACCGTGAACCTTCTTGTCAGGAAGGTGACAGCCCTGTTAGACCATCTTTTTTAATACTGGGACTCGAGCCGTATCTGTATGGGTCTCAGCCGTACTAATCTTAATTCCCGCTGAGAAGGAGGGCCGTCACAGCAGGCAGGAGTGAAGGCAGCAGATCCGATGTGGGGGCTTTCTTCCATGACCGAGTACACGTGTCAACAGCCTGACAGCCAGCGACAAGGAGACCCAACCTCGGTACTCAGACTGGACTGGCCAGACCATGGCTCGTTATAACCGATGTCACAGAAACAAGTCCCAGTATCTCCCCTGCCACCTTCAGTCCAACGACGGGAGGTCAGGAGCGGCTCTGGACCCACAGGGGGTCACTCACCTGTACAGGTGGGTCTTGGGATCTTCTCACCGACACGCAGATGTGGTCCTGCCAGCTCTTCCCCGCAGGCGGTTGGAGAAGTCAGGTCGGGCTCAGAACTGGAAATGCCTGGGAGAGAGAGAGAGAGAATACGTGCGCCTGGATGAACGAGAGGACTGGGGACCACGCTGGGTTTTTCAAAGGAGTGCCCTGAGCATCGAGGAGATACGAACGCTCTGGAGACCACACAGGCAGCTCATCTCACAGGGGTGTGTGGCGCTTCTAAGACGCCGGTGCCCACAAGGTGACCAGGAGACGAAGTGAAGGCCACAGACGGAGACTCTGGGCAGCTGGAGTCAGACCACCTGGCAGGCTGGTGAGAGGGTCGTGACTGGGACCCCGCCAGTGGTCGGCAGGGACTGGGTTAGCAGAAAAGAGTGTGCACTCGGTCAGATCACCCATGGTAGCTGAGTTCACTGTAATTCAGCACTTATGAGCAGGGGACCGGATCTGATGCTCACTTTAATCATCTTAAAAAAATAGGAAGACCATCACCGAGCCCACAGGTTAAAGGAGTTACTGTGTGTAAGGAGCCACAGCACCTTCGGGCGCATAGAATACTTTCAGCACAAGGGAGTTCTTACTGTAACTCTGCTGTCTCCAACTCGCCCCGGCTCCCAACCCTGCCGCTAGTGATGTCCTTCACCCAGGGGACGTCAAGGAGGGCAGCTGTCTCTGAGAGTACAGAGAAGGCGTTCCACCGTCTTCCCACGCCTTCCATCGGGCTGGCCCACACCCTCACCTGAGACCATTTTCCCGTAGGTCTCCAGCATGAGATCCCAGTATTGCTCCTTCTGAGTGGAATCCAGGTGCCTCCACTGCTCCTAGAAAAAGATACAATGTTGTGAGTCTAGCGAAGGTTTTGGAACCCCCCTCCCCTGCCTGTAGGAGGCTGAGAAGAAAGGAATGGGCCTTGGACCCTGGTCACCAGACGACCTGAGAAACCAGGGGAAGTGGCTCAAGGGGAGAAGCCAAGGAGAAAGCTGCAGTCCCGACCTCAGCATTTCTTGCCACGGTCAGAAAACATTTAGGTTTTAAGCTCCAATTTTTTTCAGTTGTGTTTTGAGAGTAGAGAACAGAGAGAAGGCAGGAGCCCGCTCTCCACTGTCCACCCTTCTGTCTAATTTCCAGTGCTTAGAGGAGAGGTCTCTGAGCAGTAGGAGCCTGACATCCCTGTATGTCATTAAAATCTGGAAATTCAAGAGGGAAAGGAAAGAAATTAAGAAAGGGATTTGTTGGAAAAGCAAGTGCAAATCAGCACAAAGGTGGGAAGAGTCCAGAATGAAGTCAGAACGAGGACCAGCGGACTTGGGGCAGAGAGGCTGCAGCCACACGTGCACGGAGCCTCCCGACAGCTCTGAGTTTTCGGTTGAATAGCAGATCAGTTTTCCTCCCAGTGGGCAGGAACGTGATGGCGTCTCCACAGCAGGGTGTCCTTCAGTTACGCCCCAAACATGCCCTTCTTACGCCGTGGGACCGAGGCTGGAGACAAAACTGGGGAGGCCGTCCGACTTGGGTCAACTTTGGGGAATTCAAATCTCAGCCTCCCTCACCACCAGGGCACCGACCGCCAGGACCTGGGTGTGTACAGCAGGCTGACCACCAGCACTGTCCCCGGAGTCAGACACACCAGGATTCAAGTCCCCGCTCTGCCACTGTCCAGCCGCGTGATCCTGAGCACGGCCTTCCCGGGCCTCCGCCCTCACCTGATGATACTACTGAACTCAAGAACCTGTCAGGAGGTTCAACAGAAATAACGCAATTCATCTGTCTTCACAGCGCCCTGTACTTTTCACTCATAGCATTCCTCACAGTTCACTCAGTATTTCTGTATGTGTGTACACACACACACACACATGGATGTAATGAAGAGCTGCCTTCACTGGCACCTGAGCACCAGGAGGAAAGGACTCTCCACTGCTCTTCCTCAGTCCCCAGGGCCCTGCCCAGGACAGAGCAGGCACTCATACATGTCGTCGGGCTGACATAAAACCCTTAGCTGATACGTCACCAGTAGGTGGCACGTGGTCTCGCTGTGACTCTGGCTGTAACTGCCGTGGGTGCCACCCACCCCACCCCACGGGCTCACGGAGAGAGTTAAGGGACCCTGCAGGAACCCCAAAGCTGACAGCCATCCATTACGTCATGAATGGGCAGCCAGGCCACAGGGAGCAGGAATGGGGGGAGGAAGGGACGAGACATCGTCCTGTCACCACCAAGGCACCACAGGAGCCAGGCCCATCCTACACGGATCTGCGCATGGTACATCAAGGGGCAGGGTGGGGTGGGGGCCTGAAAGAGAAGGGAGACACCAAGGTCTTCAATTACCAGATACTAAGCTAAAAAAAAAAAAAGAAGAAGAAGAAGAAAAGAAGGGGTTAAATTTTCAGGGTGAAAAAAGTGAAAAGGTGGAAAGTGACTTTTATATGTTTACTTACTGATTATAACCACATTGTTAATACGGATTTTAATTTTGAAATATATTTTTAAAGTAGGAATTTTTAGCAGCTTATTTTGTTAGTCTTCAGTGAATGAAGCTACCTCAACAACCTCCTGGAAACAACCAGCTTGAGCAGACATTGCTGACCCCAGGCAGCCTCAGCCCTCCGGGTCAGATCACCCGGCCCTTGCTTCGGCGCCAGCAGAGAAAGACTGGGTGAGCCAAGCGCCGTGATACCTGCCCAGCGGCCTGGCGGCTGGACGCAGGGCCAAGGCCACGAGCGCCAAAATACCAGCGACCTAGTACGGCCCAAGGCAGGAACGAACAGAGCCACCACAGCCCCCTGGGGCCACGATCAGCCCTTTCAACCACCACAAACGATGAGTCTCTGGACAGCGTGCTGCCAGATAGAAGCCACGCACGCTCACTCCCGGAGCTGCCAAGAAGCCAGGGTGTGTGACTGAAACCCTTTACCTAAAAGGCAGGACACCAGCTACAGCCAGCATCCCTTTCTCTCGTATTTCTCACAGGGGAAAAAAATCTAAATTCCTATTCCGGAAGGACAAGGAGGAGGCTGGATGGGGGAAATCATCTCAATTTTATGTGGAAACAGCACCATCTTGTGGGCACTGGGGACACTGCCACCTCTGGGTTCCTTTCCGAAAGTCTGAAAACACAGGAAGGGGACCAGGAGTCTGGGGAGAGTCTCCGGCTCCGTCATGGGAGCACGAGCATCCTGGGCCCTCATGCCCTGCGCTGTCTGCCGCCCGCCGTCTGCCGTCCGCCGGCTGCCTGACTTAGGACGTGATTCCGTGTATTCAAAAATCCCCTTCACTCACACAAGGCTCCATCAAACACCAAGGTCCTTCTGATGCAAATAGTGGTTGGTCAGTTTGGGGAGGGATATGGGCACTGAGTGCAGATGATTTTTGTTTGTTTGGGTTGAGTGACTATTCATCAGTTATCGGCTATATACAGGGAACTGATTTATATATTACATACATGTATACATACGTGTGTGTGTGTGTGAGAGACAGAGAGAGAGAGAGACAGAGAGAGACAGAGAGAGAGCGCGCATCTGGACTCTTCTGACGTGAAGCTTCCCAGAGCAGGTCCCAGTCGACGTCGTTACAGGACGCACAGGTAATGTCTAACCCTGCTGGCTAAACTACGTTGAGAAATCGTACATACCTGTCACAGGGATACCCTGTATTTACTACAGAAGCAACAATAACCCTCCACGTCGGCTTGAAGTATTTGACAGAATACCTAAGTCTTTTCCACCAAGTAACCTCCTGCCTAACCGCTTGGTTTCTGAGGACGTCGAAAGCAGGAAGGAGGACCCCCTTGAGTCACTAAAGAGGCCTCTCCCCTCCCCTCCCCTCCCCACCCTGTGCCCCAGGAGGGGTAACTGCAAAGCTGCCCTCTGGCCCCTAAATGTCTGAGCCTGGAAAGCTGAAGCTGGGCCTGGCTTCACGCTGCAGGCAGCACACCTACACTGGCCCCCTGCCCTCACCTTCACCCTAAAGTACCTGATGAGGAAGGTACCAAGCAGAGTTCCCCAGACGTTTGGAACAATGTTTAAGGTGTCCAGGTGCCTGAAAACCTGTTTTGTCAAATGCAACTCTTCAGAGCTGTTCACTTCATAATCAAGATAAACCTGTTCCTGAGACTTCTGTTTGCAGCCAAGATGGAGTAACAGGGACTGGATTTACCTTCCTGCTAAAGCAACTGAAAACGGGGACAAAATACATGAAACAAAGGTTTGCAGACATCACGTCAGGCAGAGCAGGCAGAGATCCCTGTGAGCCCTACGGCTGCCCAGACTTACTGCCTGGACAGGGCACCCAGAGCAGCACGGAGGGGCAGCCCCCCTGCGCTGAGCTGAGCTGAGCAGGACCCAGGGTCTGGGGAGGCCAGGGGGCTAGAGTCAGCAGGCAGAAGACCGAAGTCAGGGAGCTACACCGAGAGCGAGCTCTAGGATGTGTGGAGGGTCCTCCTCAAGTCAAGGAAAGATCTCCCCCGGAGAAGCAGAAGGTACGGTCCCCAGGGCTCACACAGTACTGTACACGCTGGTACACATTTCCAGCAGCCAGAGTGGAAAACACTGTACATCAAGAAGTATCAGGTAGAGGATTTCCTCAGTACAGGGGAAAAGTTAGCCCTAGACTAAAGGCTTCTCTGGTGCCACAGAACAGTGTCCAAGTGACTTAACTACACCCCAGAGCAGAACTCAAGGACACTTACAGGAACGGGGAAACATGCAGTCCACAGCAAAGTGCAGTTCACAGTGCCTGACACGCAGTCAGGGTGACCAGGCACGCGAAGAAACGGGAGAGCATATCTCACAATGAGATCAATCATCCTCGGAAACTGACTCAGAAGTGACACAGGTGATAAATTAGTACACAAGGACATTAATGCAGATGCTGTAAACCTATTTCATATGTTCAAGGAGCTGGAGGAAAGACTGAACTTGTTAAGTACAGACATGAGAGATATGATAAAGCCCAAATCCAAATGTCTAGAGATGAAAAATACACCTGAGGTGGAAAATACCCTAGACGGGGTTCACAGCAGATAAAACACTGCAGAAGAAAAGATGAGTGAACTTGAAGACATGAAAAAAGAGACTGTACAAAATAAAAAGACGAAGAAAAGAGACTGTACAAAATAAAACAGACTAAAACAGAGCATCAGGAAGGTGTGGGACAACCTGAGGGGCCCTGACACGTACAGACACATGAGGACGCCCACGCCCCACGTGTGTGTGGTCTCACAGCTGCCAAGGAAGCAGAGAAGGCGGGGAGGCAGGAAAAGCAGTTGAAGACATTAGGGCCAAAACCTTTCCAAATTTGATAAAAACTGTAGTCCGACAGATCCAAGAAGTTCAGTGGACCCCAAGAACAAGAAACATGAAGAAAATGACTCCAAGGCTCATCACAGTCAAAATGTTCCATCAGTGAGAAAGTACTAAAAGCAAGCAAGAAAAATACAGCATTTGCAGAAGAGCAAAGATGGGGTACAGACAGCATGATTCCGGTTTGAGTCGAATTCCAGGAAATACAAACTACTGAAAGGTGACAGAAAGCAGGCGCAGAGCTGCCCCAGGACTGGGGGGAGTCGAGGGACAGCCGGGGGGGGGGGCAACAGAACGGCAAAAGGAAGCCTTTGCGGGTGGCGGACACGCTCACCGTCGTGGCTGTGGTCACGGCTTCACGTGTGTGTATGTATCATGTCCCCAAACTGGCCAAACTGCACCCTCAACCACGCACAGTTGACCATCTGCCAGCCCCACCCCCGGAAGTCAGTGGGGGGAGGAGGACCTGCGTCACGTCAGATGTTAACTCCGACCTGAGAGGCCTAGACTGGGAAGTGAACTAGCAGTCTTTCCTTAGCACAACCCAGAGATAATAAAAGAGACAAGACTGCTTCATCCAGAAACTTCTTCGAGGGCCCAGATTCTATTATTCAAGGTGACAATTAGGAAACATTCTGCCTAATCGAAACTCAGGGTCCACTCCACACATATCCCTGATCCTTCCTGTCTCCTCCACCTCGGAGAACGCTTCCCCCTTCAACCCCCCGACCACTGACACCGGCAAAGCGTGGTGCTGGCCTGAGAGAAGCGGGGAACCAGCTCACCTGAGGTGCTGTTTGGAGGAGGGAGGCTCCGAAGTCCTGGTCTCCCAGGAGCCTTTCCTTGGGGGGGGCCGGAGGCGGGGACGCAGGCGCTGCTGAGGGGAGGAACAGGAAGCCTGAAGAACCTAGATGTCCCCCAGCCACTCCCCAGAGGGCACAGACACAGCCCTGCCCACGTGAGAACCACGACTTCAACACGTGTGTTTACCTAATGAGCTGCAGCTCCCTCCAACCTCCCAAACAGCCTCACCCACATTTCCTCCCACCTCCTTTCTCAGAACCAAAATCCAAAAGGTCTGGCCCTTTCATAATGTGGTGGAAACTGCAGACTTTGAATCTCTCAGTCAGAGTGATTCTTGAAGGTCTACCCTGTTTCTGAACTTTCCAGAGATACCCCCACCTGCGTGGACTATCACCTCAGTTCCCGCTCAGGCCTCCTAGCCACCATCCCCCAGCTTCTCCAAGGCAGCACCGCACACGCCCCCACGGATAACCGGCCCGCACCTAGTTCCTGCTCCACGTCACTCTCCTCTTTCACGATGCAGCTCAGCAGCTCCCCGGGCCCGGAGGGTGCGTTCTGAAGGCCCAGCTCCTGAGGCACCTCGAGGTGGGGGTCCACTGCCCGCACTGGGCAGCCGGCAGACTCCACCTTCTCTGCTAGGCTCTCCTGTCCCAGGACCTGGATGCGGATCTGGAGAACACACCGTACGAATTACTCACTGAAAGGTCCAGAGTGAGTGCTTCTGAAAGACCCACAGCCCGCCTTCCAGAACCCGTCACAAGGCAGTGCTCAGGGATGGGGAGCAGGGAAAGGAAAGCCCCGTCTTTACTTCTGGCCCAGCAGGAACCAGTGAGGGACACATCCAGAGCCAAGGCCTGAACTGGGCCTGGGAGAACTTCGAGACAGACCAGCAACTAACGCTGTCTCTACTGGACGGTCTCCACCAATTAAAGCACAGACGTCTTTGGAACAACTTCTCAAACATTCTGGTCTAAAAATGGAATGGGCTAGGAGACTTGATTTTCAATCCCTAATGGCTAAAAAGTGTTGAGGGTCACAGAGAGTCTCAGAATTAGGGGACGTGTGGGGACACACTGAGGTAGTACAATAAGGAATTCATATTTGGTCTTTGTCCTGCATTCCTGGCCCAGAGCGCCTCAGACCCTTGCAATTTCCTGAAGCCCAGGAGTGACGGGGAGATCTCTGTTATTCATAATAAGCCCCTTTTAGCCAGACCTGAGTTTATGCTGATGACGTGGCTCTTGGTGGCCCTGGACAGTCTCAGGATGGAGGCTGGTCACCAGAGGAACTAATCAGGTGATCAAAAGGCTGGAACTTTCAGCCACAGCCCTTGACCTCTGGGGAAGAAAGAGGGGCTGGAGATTTCCAGTCACTAATGGCCAATGATTAACCAGTCATGCCTAAGTAATGAAGCCTCCATAATAACTCCTAAACTGTGGGGTTTGGGGAGCTTCAGAGCTGGTGAATCACAGAAGTGCCAGGAGGACAGGGTGCCCAGAAGAGGACCTGGGAGCCAGCCAGAGTTAGTGTCATAACTGAATCGAATCGTAGGACACCAGCTTGGGATCAGAGAATTGGAGAGTTGGTGGTTGATGTGGAAAACCCCACATATTTGGTGCCAGACAAAAGGCAGCACACCTGCTAAGACCCCAGAGGAGCCCTGTGCTCCGCTCACAGATCATCACACTCTCTGCTTACCCACTGCCACAGCCTCTGGGGGTCTCCCCTCAGGCTCTCCACAAGGGTCACCGCCTCCTCCCCGCTGCCGGGATGCTGCTTCCGCACCCACGTCTGGATCTCGGCGGGCAGGATGGTCAGAAACTGCTCCAACATCAGGATCTCCAGGATCTGCTCCTTGGTGTGAACCTCCGGCTGCAGCCACTGGAAACAGAGCTTCCGCAGCTGCCTCAGGGTTTCCTGGGGCCCAGAGATCACCTGGTAAGGAAACTGCCTGAACAGCTGGCGTGCAGTCTCAGGGCTGGAGGCCTCCCCTTGAGGGGTGGTGTCTGTTCCAGAGAACAGGGCGTCCTCGGCCTTCGCGGGTGGTGGCAGCAGGACTCGGGCCTGCCCCAGCTCGACGGGCATCGTCTGGCTTGGCAAGTCCTTTCAGGTGTCGTGCTTCTGGGATAGAGTCGTCCCTGGGAGAACCAGGTCTTCACAGAGCCTCTCACGGGGACACAAGAGGGAGTGAGCGTGACTGCTGGCCAGAGGAGACGGACACTTTCAGACAACACTCACAGGCCCCACTTGGGATGCATGGGAGCCAACCATGGGTCTTCTGAAATCAGTGGACACACTATTCTGTTTTGACAGATGGGAAACTCGAAGCCACAAAGCAAATTGCTAATACCACGTCTAAACTGTCACCATCACCCGTGAGTCCTTGGCCAAGGACTGGACTGCACCTCAGCAGGATGAAACTGTCCAAGGTTTAACAGAGAGCAGCTGCTACCAGGTTAAGAGCAAAAGAGGGATACAAAAGGCCAATCAGGGACGAGGGACATCTGCGGTTTTGACCACTGACAGTAGAGAAACTTTATGAACATTCAAGGCATCCTGAGATACCAGAAAGGCCACATGTTAGGAGTAAAGACCACGCTCTAGAGTAAGACCTACTCTAAACCTGCCCTAAATAAACCTAAAGCCAGGCTTCAACAAGATCCACAGAGGAGACCCAGTCTACTGGGCTATTCTGAGCCAGTTAGAATTGGGGAAACACCTTGGGCTTTCCAAAGATCTGCCCTAAAACTGAGCCAACAGAAGTCAGAGGTAATCAGGCAGTAACTGAACTGCCTGCTAGAACAAAAATCAACACTCTTCAGAGGAAGACAACAGAATTCTTAGCATCTACAACGTGCCATCCACAATATCCAGGATATAATCCAAAAATACGAGACATACAAAGAAATAGGAAAATGTGACTCAAAATCAAGGAACAAAGCAGTCAAGAGAAACCCCAGATGGCCTGAGAACCTAAAAATAATATAGGTTTAATGACAAGAGATAGTGACTTTCCATAGAGAAACAGAAATTATAAAAAGAACCAAATGCAAATTCTAGAGAAAGAACAATCAACCCAGAATTCCACATCCAACAAAAAAACCTTTCAAAGAAATAATGACATTTTTCAGAAAATAAGCTAAGAGAAATTTTCACCAGTGACTTTTGTACTACAAAATTTGCTGAAGGACATTCTTCCAGTTGAAGGAAAACTCAGATCGACAGAAAGGAATGAAGATCTCCAAAAAAGGTAAACATAGAGTGAATAAATATAATACTGTTTTTATTTATTCTAACTTCCTTACAAGGCAACTGACTGTGAAAGCAAAAATAGCAATAGTGTGAGCAGAACATAAGTAGAAGTAAAAGGTAAAAAAATAGCACACAGGAGGGAGTAAATGGAATTAATCTGTTGTTAGGTCATTACATTTATGAACCGCTAATTGAGAAAAAGAAAATAGGAAATGAGAAGCAGTGTCAGGTGAAGTGACAAATAGGAAATGTAAAGGTGCTAAGTGAGGGGCAGGAAATGAAAAATATGAATTATGAATTATAACGTGGTATAATATTAAAGTATACTCTGATAAGTTAAACTTTGATAATTTAAGGATGCATACTGCTAGCTATAAAAATATTATACAGAGAGGTACAGCAAAAAGCCAAAAAAGGGAATACTAAAACAGTCTGTAATATGATAAGAAAGGATCAAGAGAAGAATGAAAACAAGAAAGATCACATGGGAAAAAAGACAATATGGTAGACTAGTATTCAACCATATCAATAAATACATTAAATGTAAGTGGACTAAACACTTGAACTATACGTTAGAGATTGTCAGATTTAAAAAAGACCCAGCCATATGCTGTCTACAAGAGACATTTTATATACAAAGACACAGATAGTCTGGAAATAAAATGGTAGGAAAAAGACATTCCATGCAAATAGCAAACACGTGAAAGCTGGTACGGCTTTTTTAGTATCTCACCAAGAGACTTCAAGACAGGGAGAAAAAGAGGGACATTTCATAATAAATGGGTCAAATCATCTAGAACACAAAACAACGCTAAATGTGTAAGGCCCTAATAGCAGATCTGAAGGGACAAATCTTCGATCACAGTTGTAGATTTTAACACCTTTCTCTCAGTAACTGATAGAAAAAATAGACACACACACACAAAAAATCAGTCAGGATACAGAAAATCTGAATGACACTATCAACCAATTTGATCTAATTGACGTTTAGACCCAACAATTGCTGAATACACATTCAAGTACATATGACACATTCACCAAAACAAGCCATATGCATAATTAAGTTTCTAAACAGTGGAATCTTAAAGTATAGATTCTCTGACCACAGTGAAATTACATTGGAAATCAATTAACAGTACGATACCTAGAAAATCCCAATATATGGAAATTGTTAAGTAACAATATTAAATAACCTACACTCAAACAGACAAATAAAAACCACAAAGGAAATTAAAATATATTTACGTATTGAGTGATAATGAAAACACAGCAAAACTTGTAGGCAACTGCTAAAGCGCTGCTTAGAGAGAAATATATTGCTTTAAATAAATGTTAAAAATTTTAATAAAGATACATGTATCCTTCACTATCTAGATCTATTTGGCTCCTGAGTTTCAAATAACAGGTAGCAATATTTCAGATAGCAAAAGACTTACTCAAATTTACTTGGTTCCTGAATAAAGGCAGGAAGCAGTTCAGATAACCCTTAGGGAAAGTACTTTTAGGGAAAACTATAGATCTTATAAAATATTTAAATCTGATTCCAGCAATTAAACTCTCACATAATTATAGGAAAAATGCCTCAATTATTCATAATTAAATTACTTTATAGATGGTTTGTAGGTTGATATCTCAATGACTTCATCAGAATCTGCTGCAGTTATCAAAAAAATTTAGTTATCCCAAAGGTATAGTTGTTATTAAAGCTGTAACAAATTAGAATGAATTTTAAAATAACATCTAGGTAAGGATACTTACTATACACTCGTATGTAAGTAACCATTTGCAGAGCACCTACTACTGAAAAGACTGTCTCCTTAACAAACTTTAGTGAAGCTCCTGCGTCATCTTTTTGACTAGGACTGGCCCTTGGACTCTGTCCTTGGCCGTTCCAGTCCCGTTTAGCAAGAAACTTGCCGAGTCCAGTTCAGGGAAAATCCCCTACCTTTAATATCTGATCAAAGTCAACATCCCTTGGTATGTAACTACCCTTGGTATTTGATCAAATTCCTTATCACCCTGGTCTGCCTTCAACAAAACTCCTGTCAAGTTGGCTTACCCAGAATCCCCCCTCAACCCAGATGTTTCCTCTTAGTAGTTTCCCATCCACTGACACCCGCCCCTACCTTGGCTATAAATCCCCACTTGTCCTTGTTGTATTCACTCTCTCTCCAATACCTCAAAACCCTATAGTAGTCCCCTTAAATAATGTCTGCCTCACCGTTTTAAACGAGTGTCTAAACTTTTTAACACTGACTGCATCGGCTCCATATTGGGCCCAGTTCAAGTCATTTCTAACCCTCACAATTACCCTGTATTACAATTTACAGGTGGGAAACCTCTGAAGCTTAGTGGCAGCCAAATTCAAACCCAGGAAGCTCTCCACGTCTTTACTTTGGGGAAGAGAGCTGCAAACGTTTGACAATTTGTGGGGACGGATTTGGGGGCTGTCACAAACGCCTGGAGGGGAGCAGGAGCTACAGGCATTTAGCACCGCAGAGCCCAGGGAGGGGACCAAGCCCTGCCAGGCGCCGCGCAGTGCTGCCCACGCTCTTCTCCGCCCTCCGCCCACACGGCCGAGAGCACCCTGGGAGAGACGGACCCGGGCATCAGCCCATCCGCGTTCCCTCTGGCCCAGGCTCATTTCCAGCCTGTGCGGGAAGGCAGGAGGGAGGGGCCCTTTTCGGGCCCAGTCCGGAGACGTGGCCAGGGAGTCCGGCGGGACCCAGAGGCTCAGGGACGCAGAGCTGGGTCCAGGGTACCGAGTCTCCACGACCCTAAAGTCCACTCACAGCCCTGCCGCCCCTCCCCCGCACTCGCCGCGTCCCGCACGCGCTCCCAGGCGCTCGGGCGTGCGTCCGCCTGCCCGACCGCCGCTCCCCGAGGCCCGGCCGAGTCTGGCGTGGACGCGGGCGGCGCCACGGCCGACCCCGGGCGGTCGCGGCCAGGCCTGTCCAGCCCGCGCGCGCTCACCTCGGCCGGCTCCAGGCGCACTTCCGGAAGACGCGCGGCTACGCGCGCCTCTGGCTGCCGGCGGGGCGGGGCGGGGGGG